CCCAATCAAACTTCGAGTTTCACATCACAATTGGTAACTCCAGAGCCAACTACAAGTTTAACATTACATACGTCAACCCCTGAGCCATCTACCACTTTTACATCACATACGTCAACTTCTATCCCAATCAACAATTTCCCAGTACATACAAAAACTCACAATCCGACTGTAAGTTTCAAGTCACATACGTCAACTCTCAAGCCAACTACCAGTTTCACATCACATACAACAACTGACAATCCAACTACCACTTTTACATCACGTACGACAAATCTTAAGCTACCTAAAAGTTCCACATCACACACAACAAATCACAATCCAACTACGAGTTTCACATCACATACGACAACTCATAACAGAATTCCAAGTTTCACATCACATACAACAAATCACAATCCAAATACAAGCTTAACATCACATATGACAACTCCAGAGACAACTACAAGCTTTACATTACATACGTCAACTCCTGAACCACATACCACTTTTACATCACATACATCAACTTCTGAGCCAAGTACCAATTTCCCATCACATACAACGACTCACAGTCAAACTACAAGTTTCAAGTCACATACGACAACTCATAACAGAATTACAAGTTTCACATCACATACAACAAATCACAATACAAATACAAGTTTCAAGCCACATATGGCAATTTCCAAGCCAACTACCAGTTTCACGTCACATATGGCAACTTCTGAACAAGCTACAAGTTTCACATCACATACAACTCCTGAGCAAACTACTAATTTCACTTCACATACGACAACTGACAATCCAACTACAAGTTTCACATCACATTTGATAATGCCCAAGCCAACTACAAGACTAACATCACATACAACAACTGACAATCCAACTACCACTTTTACATCACGTACGACAAATCTTGAGCTAACTAAAAGTTCCATATCACACACAACAAATCACAATCCAACTACAAGTTCCACAGCACATACGTCAACTTTCGAGCCAACTACAAGTTTCACATCACATACGACAACTGAGCCTACTACAAGTTTTACATCACATATGATAACTCACAATCAAACTACAAGTTTCACATCACATTTGATAACTCCCAAGCCAACTACAATTTTAACATCATATATGACAACTTCCAGGCCCACTATCAGTTTCCCATCACATAAAAAAACCCATAATCCAACTACAAGTTTCACATCACATACGACAACTCACGAGCCAACTATAAGTTTCACACAATCAACTTTCGAGCCAACTACAAGTTTCACATCACATACGACAACTCATAACAGAATTCCAAGTTTCAAATCACATACAACAAATCACAATACAAATACAAGTTTCACGCTACATACGGCAATTTCCAAGCCAACTACCAGTTCCACGTCACATATGACAACTTCTGAGCCAGCTACAAGTTTCACATCACATACGACAACTCACGAGCCAACTATAAGTTTCACATCACATACAACTCCTGAGCCAACTACAAGTTTCACATCACATACCACAACTCACAATCTATCTGCTAGTTTCACATCATATATGACAATTCCTGAGTCAACTACAAGTCTTACATCACATACGGCGACTAAAAATCCAACTATAAGTTTCACATCAGAAACAACAACAACTGAGCCAACAAGAAGTTTATCATCATATACATCAACTCCTGAGCCAACTACAAGTTTTACTTCACATACGACAACTGAGATCTCAACTACCAGTTTCACATCATATACAACAACTCCTGAGCCAACTAGAAGTTTCACATCACATACAACATCTCACAATCCAGCAACAAGTTTCACATCACATATGACATCTCACAATTCATCTACCAGTTTCACATTACAAAAGACAATTTTCGACCCAGCTACAAGTTTCACATCACATACAACAACTCCCGAGCCAACAACAACTTTCACATCAACTCCTGGGCCAACAAGTTTCACTTCACATACTACAACTCCAGAGGCAACAAAAAGTTTTATATCACTTAAGACAACTCACAATCGAACTACCAGTTTGATGACATCTCATGTATATACTGATCCCTCAAAGGCATCGTAAGTGTGCAGTTACCAGTGGATATAAAGTCTAAAATCCATTACAGAATATCATGTGATTCAATCCATTTTACAGAAAAGCCTTGGATAATCTGGAATCTAAGATGGAAGAGATGGAAAAAAGCAATAAAAGTAATGCAGCGATTGTCATGGGGGATGTTATTGGTCTTCTTCATGTACAAGCCAAGAACACAGAAACCAAAGACATCAACATATGCTACTCTTCAAATCATACCATGGTAAACTTGATAAAACCTGATAAACCTGAGATGCATTAAAACAGGGTATGATTCCTCAGTTATCATGGCAATTCTTATTTTCACAGGTTGTTGAGAGTCAAAGTGTCCAAAATACAAACTGTTCCTGGTCTATAAAGATTTCCAAGGAGGCTTTTGATAAATCACGTCTTGAAAACAATGGAAGTGCATTTGTTGGAGTTCTACGGTTCAAAAACATAGGAAACAAGGTACTGTATGCTTCTATGTAGGGCTGAGCAATATAGCCAAAAATATTTCACAATAACTGTTTTTTTTTCATATCAGTCGATATTAATAATTATCACAATAAATGTCAAAATATGCATGAGTAAACATAAGTAAAATTAACATAAGTAAAACCTTTTAGGCTTTTTGTCCTTAAAAAAGTTGCAAGTTCTTGCAAGCAAGAAAGTTAAGCTAAATTAATTTGTATGTACTTTAGTATAACTAAATGTATTTGTGGCACACAATAAATTGGCATACTTAAAGTCTGTTAAATTGGAACAACAAATTTTGTACTAAATGCATTTTAGTTGTGCAAAAGCAGTGCTGAAGTTCAACTAAAGTTGTATTAAATATACTTGTTTGTGCTTAAGTGGAACTATTCCAAGTATAATTAAGTACATTTACATTTAGACATTTTGCAGACACTTTTATCCAAAGCGACTTACAAATAAAGGAATACATAAATCTTAAAGAGGCTAACAGTCACAGGAAGTGCTCGCAAAACCATGTTTCAGGCATTGTTTAAATCAGTACGAGCTTGAAAGGGAAGGAATAAATAAAGAGAAAGACAAAGTTTATTTATTTTTTTAATTTAGGATGACGTCAATTGGTGTCGAAAGAGGTGAGTTTTCAGCTGTCGCTTGAAAAATGTCAAGGATTCAACATTCTGGATATGGGTCGGAAGATCATTCCACCAACCAGGAATGGTGAACAAGAATGTTTTGGAAAGTTATTTTTAGCCTCTCTGTGATCGTACCACAAGGCGTCGCTCACTAGCGGATCTCAGATTTCTGGAGGGGATGTAGACTCGTAATAGTGAGTGGAAGTAGGCGGGTACTGAGCCTGTGGCTGTTCTATATGCAAGCATCAGTGTCTTGAACTTGATGCAAGCCGCAACCGGTAGCCAGTGCAAGGAGATAAGGAGAGGTGTAACATGGGCTCTTTTGGGCTCGTTGAAAACCAGTCATGCTACTGTATTCTGAATCATTTGAAGAGGTTTGATTGTGCTTGATGGAAGTCCAGCCAGAAGAGCATTGCAGTAGTCCAGCCTAGAGATGACAAGGGCCTGGACAAGAAGTTGTGCAGCATGCTCCGTTAGAAAGGGCCTGATCTTTCTTATGTTGTGTAGTGCAAACCAGTGTTAATTTCGTCAACGAAAGACGAGGACGAAAAATATTCATTAACGAACATTTTTTCTGTGACTAAGACGAGACGTTGATGAGCTAAAACTAATATCTGATGATAAAAACTATGACGAAATTTATGTCGCGTCTTCGTTAACAAGACGAGACGGGACTATAATGTTATTTGAGGACTACCGGACATTCAAAATACATCCTATATGTTAGGTCTTGTCCTTCAAAATGTGCATCCCTGTCATTGGATTGCAATCGGATAAGTGGCGTTTGCATGTCTAGTCTCAGTATGGCAGCCGCAGTGGATGGATAGACTAGCAAAACGCAAACTAGAGATCTGAAACAATGGCCTCAGCGCCCGAAGGGGTAGGGATAAGGTGACCAGACATCCCGTTTTTCCCCGGAGTCACAATTCGTTGTCAATTAACTTAAAGTTAGTGAAGGCGGGCTAGGCTTAATCGCGCTGATAGAAGTCTCTCTTGCGCACGCTCCACTTCTTCAGTTCTCATATACAGCGCACGATCAGTTCTCAGGGCTCAAATACACACGCAGCCATGTAAATATCTATCGTGTAGAGTATCTCACATAAATAGAGTCGTTTATGGATTAAGTGAAACAGGTGGGTGAAAACTGAACGTGTGTCAGTATTACATGCATGCCTTCCGTCTTAATGGGACAGCATTCCTAATTGAGTACCTATTCTTGTCATTAATGTTAACCAACAAAAGATGTTAAATAAATGTACAAATGTTAAGTAAATCTACTGTATCTGAAAAATGAGTTTAATTTGTATCTCTTTTGTATTTGTCTTATTGTGCTTCTTTTTCAAAATGAATAAATTATATATATTATCTATATTATTATGAACAACTATAATTTTTATAAGTTGCTCCCTTTTCACTACTGTTAAAGGGATAGTTCACCCAAAAATTTTATCATTTAATTATCATCATTTATTCAAGTTTTTTCAAATTCAATCCTTGATTCAAATTTCTCATAAGCTTAATTGATTTGGTCTAAAGAGAGAAGAATTCATGACTATTTTTGTTTGAAAACTACATATAAAATAGCTACCAAAATAAATATTGGTAACTGCAGTTTGACTAAAATAATGACTAAAAGTTGAAAAAAATGCAATGACTTTTTGTCAACTAAAACTAGACTAAAACTATGAAAGACTCAAATGACTAAAATATGACAGACTATTAAGCATTTTCGTCTCAAGATAAAGACTAAGACTAAATCAAAAATGCCTGTCAAAATTAATACTGGCGCAAACCTGCAAGATCGAGCAGTCTTTGCAATGTGGTCTTTGAAGGTCAGTTGGTCATCAAAGATTACACCAAGATTTCTGACTGAAGTTGATGGGGTAACTGTAGAAGAACCTAGCTGGATGGTGAAATCTTGCTGTAGAGTTGGAGTGGCAGGGAAGACAAGAAGCTCAGTCTTTGCCAGGTTGATCTGTAGGTGATGTTCTTTCATCCATGCCGAGATGTCCGCCAGGCAGCCTGAGATCCGTGCAGCTACCGTTGGATCATCTGGTTGAAATGAGAGATAGAGCTGTGTGTCATCAGCATAGCAATGGTAGGAGAAGCCATGTGCCTGTATGATGGCACCCAGTGATGTAGTGTATATGGAGAAGAGGAGGGGTCCAAGAACTGATCCCTGAGGAACCCCAGTGACCAGTTGATGTGCTTTGGATACCTCCCCTCCCCAAGCCACCCTGAAAGACCTACCAGTGAGATAGGATTCAAACCAGCGAAGTGGAGTCCCTGTGACACCCAGTGATGAGGGCAGACAGGAGGATCTGATGATTGACAGTGTCAAAAGCAGCAGATAGATCCAGCAGAATTAGAACTGATGATTTGGAATCAGCTTTTGCAATCTGCAAGGCTTCCGTGACTGACAGTAGCACAGTCTCAGTTGAATGGCCACTCCTGAAACCTGACTGGTTAGGATCCAGTTTGTTGTTCTGTGAAAGAAACAATGATATCTGGTTGAAAACAACTCTTTTGAGGGTTTTCGCTATGAATGGAAGGAGAGAGACAGGTCTGTAGCTATCTGTAAGTGAAGTGTTTAATGTAGGTTTTTTGAGCAGTGGGGTTATCCGAGCCTGCTTGAATGCAGTGGGGAAGGTGCCTGTGAGGAGAGATGTGTTGATGATGTGCGTGAGTGCTGGTAAAAGTGTAGGAGAGATTGCTTGGAGGAGGTGTGAGGGGATTGGGTCTAGAGGGCATGTTGTAGGATGGCTGGAGAGGAGAAGTTTTGATACTTCCGCCTCAGCGAGGGGACAGAAGGAGAAGACGGGAGTTTTAGCAGTGGATGTGGATGGTTTGAGGTCCTGTGTGTGTGGAGCTGAGAATTGACTACTGATTGTTCTAGTTTTGTCTGTGAAGAATGTGGCGAAATCATCAGCTGTTATAGAAGTGGTAGAAGGTGGTGGAGGGGGACAGAGGAGAGAATTGAATGTTTTGAACGTGTGTCTGGAGCGCTGTTGATCTTGTTGTGGATCTTAAGTACATTTTAAATATCCACTATTGTATTTAAATTTTGAAATGCAGAATTCACTAAGCATAATCTTCAAATGTATTTTGGTGACATTACAATTGCAATTCAATTACACTGTAAGAGTGCTGAAAATACATTAATATTATACTTATAACAAACTGAGGTCATACTATCCTGTACTTTTAGTGACTTTAAAACACATTGCAATGGCATTCTAAGTAAACTTGAAGCGTGGTAATGGCACTATTAGTGTGTGATTTATAATCAATGTTGGAAACAGTTGTGCTGCTTCATATTTTTTGGGGCCTGTGATATTTTCCTCAGGATTCTTTGATAAATAAAAAGTTAAAAAAGAACACAATATACACTACTATTATAAAGTTTGGAGTCAGTAATTTTTTTTTTTTAAAGAAATTACTACTTTTATTCAGCAAGGATCTGTTAAATGGGAAAAAAGTGATATTTAAAGACTTCAAAGAAAAAAAGTATCACAGTTTCCAAAATATATTAAGCATATTATACTGATTTCTGAAGATCATGTGACACTGAAGACTGGAGTAATGATGCTGAAAATTCAGCGCTGCATCACAGAAATAAATTATATTTTAAAGTCTATTAAAATAGGAATCCAATATTAGAAATTGCAATAATATTTCACAATATTACTGTTGTTTCTGTATTTTTGATCAAATTAATACAGCCTTGATGAGCAGAAGAGACTCCAGTAAAAACATTAAAAATTGTATTGATCTCAAACTTTTGAAGGGCAGTGTATATTCGTATTTCTGCCACAATACAATGGTGCAGTTCGCATTACTATAGTAAATCCGCGTAAAAGCATTCTAAGGGGCCATTCACACAAAACACATTTTTCCATTCCAATGCACTACTTCTCCATTGTTTTTATGGAAATGCACTAGATGGACATGTATGACTGCTGGACTCATATCTCGTGTCTTTTGCAGTGTCCCGCATATTGAGTGTCACATGTCAAGTTAAAGGAATTTCAACTTTTACACGCAGCTCCTCTCATCAACGTCAGTTCCAAAACAGTGGACCAATCAGAAGACCCCGGAGGCGGGGCAAGCGTTGCAAGCTTTTGTTTACAGTTGTTTACTATTTTATTTGATGACAAGCACTGATAGTGGCTGTGCCCAGATACCCTGAATTATACAACTCTTCTTAAAGCGATTATCACAGTCTGATTCTTAAATAAGAGCCTTGAGAGAAATATCTCTCACTGAATATTTGCATAACGTCTCAAAAGTGCATCTCATGATCCTTGCATTCTGTGCTGCGTTTTTAAATGAAAAAAAAAAAACATTCCTGAGCACTGCGTCTAGCGTTTTTAGCATTCTGTGTGAACGCCCCCTAAATGGGAATGTTTATGGCACAGTATTTCTCGTGTTTTGTTTGTCTCCGTTTTGTTCTGCTTCTGGTGCATAAACATTACATTGAACATTTATCAAACGTGTTGTTGATTTATCCAGGGCAAAATACATTGTGGTAATTAGTGTTATTGTTTTATCACCCAACCCTACTTCTATGATTTTTAACTTTTAAGTCTTGTACAGAAAGACTCTTGAAAGTTTCTAGTTTTGGACAAACGTTTCTGATCAATTATATTCACGCATACTTATATATGATTTATGATTGCTCTCTTGGTTTCTGATTTAGAATGAAAACGATATTCACACTGTTTTGAACAATGAAGTTTATGGAATAACTATGAGGGCAAAAATCTCCAACCTTACCGACAACATTGACATGTCCTTTACACATAACGATAAGGTAATGAAGGTTTTGTTGCAGAACTTATTTTGTTATAATCACCGGACAATGTGAAAGCAAAATGAAAATAAACGTGTTCTTTCAGAACGGTAATGTGTCCTGTGTTTCTTGGGATGGCAAAGGTAAATGCATTTATGACTCTACCGATTTCAATCAACAAACCCAGTTCATTCAGGGTTGTTTATTTATGATCAATTTCATTCATTGCTCTCTTTTCTTTGAAGGAAGACTCAATTGGACGACGTTCGGCTGTAAGACAGAAATCAACAACAACTCCATAAAGTGCTCCTGCTCACATCTGACGTTCTTTGCCGTGTTGATGGTGAGAAGCTTCTCAGAGAAGAAGAACTAACGCTTTCATAATTCATGTTTCAGTTAATGATTCCACTAAATCAATACCATTCTTTTAGTCCCTGCTACATGCCAGTAAACTAGTAAAAGATGAAAAATTATAAGCATTTAAAATTTGCTAACAAGATCTGATTCTTGCTAACAAACAACAAATTCAGCTGATCTGTTTCGTTCTGTTTTCTCTGATCTTTCAGTTTTTGCCAGATGCAAATGTCACAGCACCACATCTGGAATCATTGACTTTAATCTCTTCAATCGGCTGCGGCATCTCCATGTTTTTTATGGCCGTCACTTTATTCATGCATTTCCTGCTACGGTAGAGTATCTTAAAGTATATTATATAGTTAGTGCTGTTTAGTAATCAGTAATCACTAATACTACACTAAGAAACAATTTTAACTTGCTAGTAAATTTCACATATGATTTCAAAGCAAACATTAAATTAAACTCGAAATCAAACCTCTAAAGTATTAAAGTTCAGGTTACTTTTTGTGTTTCTTCAATTAAATCAGTTTATGTGTTTTCAGTGTGTCCCGCTCCGATAGTCGTAGCTATTGCTTCTATAGGAGGATATGAAGCAGTGACCCTAAACACTACGTCTGGAAAAATTGCACGAATGTAAGTTGGTTTGATGTCACAAATTCAAACATTTATTGATGTTAAATGATTGCCTTAATATTTTCAAATTACAGGTGCTGGACTACAAATCCTTACATTCACTACATAGTGAACATCGGCTACTACGCTTTAGTTTTCGTCTTCACGACAGGAGTCTTCATCATGATCGTCACTAAGGTCGTTCAGGCCAGAAACATAAAAGCAGTTGACGGCAAGAGAAAGACGTTCAGAAAGCAGCTGATGATGGTGTTGAGTTTGTTCCTGCTCTTCGGTCTGACGTGGTCTGTGGCGTTCTTCAGTTATGGACCGATGCTCATTCCCTCATATTACATATTCACTGTGCTGAACTCATTACAGGGTGAGAAACAATCACATGCATCGATACATTTGGCTTAGTAGAACACTTCTATTTTTCCTATATATATATTTTAGCTAATTATTTGATTTAATTAATGAATTCAGTTTTTATATTATTTTATTATTTAAATTATTTATTATTAGTGTTTTTAAAATTGAATTATTCTATTTTATTGATCATTTCACCATTTAATTATATTTGTTCACAGTTCAAAAATTATGCAAATGTCTAATCATATCTGAAATATATTTGAATTAGTTGAAATAAGCTTCTCTCATTCTTTTTTCAGGGTTTTTCCTCTTCCTGTATTACTACCACATTCACAATGACGTTGAGGGTAATTTCTCAGATGATCCAGAAAGCACCGACTCCACTGTTTAATCAAGCATTAATGCTGTAGAAAACATTTCTAACTAGCATAATTAAGACAGAAGACTTCCTTTGTCTCAGACTTTCTTACACTGATTTCTTAAACTGATCTGTACAGTTATTGTTTGAGGGGAAACTGTGTATTCTCACCTAAATCAAGCTCAGAGACACAAGTCACTTAACCAGAAGGAATTGTTAAAAATGATGCATGCACATAAAATTATGACCTTAAAAAAGGGAATGAAACATATGACTGAAAAATCATTACTGAAACTATAATTGTAGAAGGACTGAATATTAAATGACCTGATGTTCCATTTATTGAGCATTACAATCATCATTCTGTCCACTAAGTGTGATTATGTGCGTGCAAGAGCAACTCAAACAACACTGACCCTCTTTTACTAAACAAATTCACATCTTCAGAATGAAAGTAATGTCCACACGCCTTTGCATTCATATATTTGCATGGTCATTTGATAAAGCAGCTTAATCAAATCCACACACATGGATATTGTACATATTGGGTATATAAAAACACAAAAACACTGTCAGAATCAGCTTATGTTTCCTGCATTATTTACAGTTTTTTTTTATTGCTATCAAGCGTTTACCAATACTTAAAGTACTTTTTCTAAACTCTTAACACAGCCAAATAGTAATTTTCTGGCCAAAACCACATTTTGTTAAATAAATACAAACTCCACGTTTCAAAATGCTTAATACCTTTTTCTACATTTACTAACTCTATCAAAACACAGCAAACCTGATTCAAAATCGAGTCATTCGGTCAAAACATTGGCACAGGTTTTCTTTCCAATCGGAACATATAGTCGATCATAGTGCATAGACCGTCAAAATCATAACAATTAATGGCATTACAAAAACTGCATTATACTTGTCATATCTGTATAGAACATACAATATGAGATCCATTTAAAAAAATTAAAAAAATAATAATTCAGTCAGCTGAACTCTAAATTTTTTTTGTGTGTGTAAATGTGTAACATTTCATTTTAGATCGTATGTGCACAGCATAGTGAAGGAGTCATCAGTAGTTTATGGAATGTAAAAGAAATTAAAAAATAATAATTCAGTCAGCTGAACTCAAAATTTTTTTTGTGTGTGTAAATGTGTAACATTTCATTTTAGATCGTATGTGCACAGCATAGTGAAGGAGTCATCAGTAGTTTATGGAATGTAAAAGAAAAGTGACAGAATTGCTGCGGTAAAGGCTTTTTTGGCAAAATGAAATTTCTGTGTGTGAAAAAAATTTAATAAAAACATACAGCACTTTGCACCCTACCTCTCCTTCTCCCTTGTCAGAAAGTCAGAAAGAGCTTTATTACCAAGTATGTTTACACACACACAAGGAATTTGACTTGACGACAGGAGCATCCAGTGCAGAGGAAAGTATTGACAGTGCAAACATACATGACAGTGCAGACATGCACAGGAATTATAACAGTAATATAAGAAAAACAGAAAATGATGGTCTGTAATGCTGACCAGAGGCCACAGTACGAAGAGAGAATGGGCTGGGTGTGTGGGGTCCAAAGCCATTTTCATTACTCTGGAGGTGTACAGATCTTAGAGGTTCGGCCAATAATCATCTCAGCAGTCTTGGCTGTCTGTTGTAGTCTCTTGATGTCTGATTTGGATTGACATAGTGCAAACATACATGACAGTGCAGACATGCACAGGAATTATAACAGTAATATAAGAAAAACAGAAAATGATGGTCTGTAACGCTGACCAGAGGCCACAGTACGAAGAGAGAATGGGCTGGGTGTGTGGGGTCCAAAGCCATTTTCATTACTCTGGAGGTGTACAGATCTTAGAGGTTCGGCCAATAATCATCTCAGCAGTCTTGGCTGTCTGTTGTAGTCTCTTGATGTCTGATTTGGTAGCTGAACCAAACCAGATAGTCCTGGTCCAACTACTCCTCTCCCTCGTCCAGACATTTTCTTTCTTTTTCTGCTTCTCTGTGTTGTTCTGTATTGTTTTGAAGAAAACCAATCCAGAGAGTGCCTTTTTATTGTGCATGGCCATGTAATGGAAAGACTTGAAATTATTCATTAAGATTTGAATTAGCTATTTCTCAATTATCAGTAATTAAAATAATTCTTATCAGCTCTTTTGCTGCAGAAGTAGAGGCTTTACACTGTATTTAAAGTTTGGAACATTAGGTCTTCATTTCTGTCATGCATTTTTAAAAAAAAAAAAAAAAAAAGATAAGAATGATCCATGATTTTGGTATGGGGTAAACTTGTGTGAAAAGAAAATTTAAGCAGTTTAGAAACATGTTAATTGACTGAATATTGTGTGAAAACAACATGAATTGTGTTGATGGTATGATCACAACAGACGGATGTTTTGCTAATTGTGTTTAGAGTTTTGAAAATGTGATTATAGATTGGACAAAGGGATGTTAGCAATTGAAAATAACTGTAATGTGGTTTACATCTACAGATGCTCTGTTATTTCTCAATGATTGTCATGAAGCTAATAACATTTCATTGTTCATCGTGATTGACTTTCAGTGTCTCCAAAATGATTTATTAACTTCAGTCAAACTTGTAAATATGTGAATGTTATTCATTAGAGGACAAAATAACAAAGCAAGTGCCATTTATTGTAAAGAAAGATACTTGTTCATTGTTTCTATGAAAAATATTCAAACTTGGCATTTCCTGTATAAGAATCTGATAAATGTTGCTAATTAATATAAATATGGTCTAATAGGCTCTAATAAAGGTTATGCTGTCATTGGCATTCTGTTGCTACTTTTATTAAATATAAATATTTGACTTGATAAACTTTACTTGAATGTAACAAGATAATGAAATTCTCAGTTAAAGCCCAAATACAAATGATTTACATGTTTTACATGTCAACAATGGTTAGAGAGTCGGACTTGTAACCTGAAGGTCGCAGGTTCGAGTCTCAGGTCCGGCAGGGATTGTAGGTGGGGGGAGTGAATGACCAGCGCTCTCTACACCTTCAATACCACGACTGAGGTGAGATCACTGATCTATAATAGAGAAGCAAGGCACTGCACCCCAAACTGCTCCCCGGGTGCCACAGCATTGGCTGCTCACTGCTGTCTGTCTGTCTGTGTGTGTGTGTGTGTGTGTGCGTGTGTGTGTGTGTGTGTGCGTGTGTGCGTGTGTGCGTGTGTGCGTGTGTGTGTGTGTTCGCTGCTGTGTGTGTGCACTTGTGCACTTG